CATAATGAATCTGTACCAATGGAGAAAACAAGTCAATAGAGTGATAAAATAACCTGTCTGTCAAAGTGTCTACTATAGAAAGAAAACTAGGTTGTATACTTTATATTTCTTTTTTATTTTGAATGTATCAAGATGATAATTCAATACAGTTCTTGAATAATAAATCCTATTAAAATAAAATGACAATCAACTTGAGTAAATTAGTCTTGAATGATGGGCAATGCAGAATTTTAAAACATACAATACTCATATTTTTCTAGACAACAGAAATTAAACCTATCTTCTTTAATCTAAAATGATGTTTTAGAAATGTCAAAGATGTCTTTAAAATTAAATATTAAAAGACCAGCCTATACTAAGTGCCTATTTTGTAATTTAGCTTTATATTACTGCTCTTCTGTAGGGTCAGACATTCAGGAAAATAAGCAAACAAAAGAATCACAGCAACTGATTAATTAACATTAAGGAAGAAATCACTTCCCAGAGTAAGACTTTAATAACACATTAGAATTTCTGGGAGAGTGAAACATCTTGAAGTAAAATATAAGAAAAAACTACACCCTGAAACCATACTTATTTTCACAGGTTTGCTGGAATCACACTCACCTTGAGGACATTTTTAAAAACTTCCCTTACATGCTAAATCACTAGAATTTCACTCAGTTATAGCTCAGGAACTACACTAACCACTTATTATAGACAGAAATCAGTTTGGTGGGTGGTTGGGAAGTACTGTGCAACTGACAATCTCTCCTTTCCTCACTCCTCTCCCTAAGGGCATCCAAATATATTCTACTTCCTTACTTCCCTGTAACTGTTACTGTTGAGTTTAGTATTTATGTTTACTCAAGCACTCTCTGTAGATAGACACATCACCTATATTCACTCATTTTCTTTCATTTTCCCTATAAATTATGGCTCCATGTACTCAGAAAGTTTTTTTTTTTTTTCTGAAGATCAGGGCCAGATTTGGGGCATGCAAATTGCAGTTGCATGAAATCTGTTGTGTTATTTTTGCACCTTGAAAATTTAACATATCGATATGTCTCTAAGTCTCTAAGTGTATTTACCAATTATGTTAAAAAGTTCATTTCTTACCAAAAATAAATATTAGAACAAAATTCATACTAATAATTAAAAATTATATATTGTCCTAGAAGTACAAATAGCAAATAAAAACACCATGACAAGTTGAGGGGATGGGAGATGGCAGGAAGTCACAGAAGACAGTAAAAAGCTCTATGTGTTATTATCTTTAACTGTACTTTTTTCCTGTTTTTCTTTTTTTTCTTTTTTTTTAATAGTCCTACTGCATTTGGGGGATGCACTGGGCAAATTATGAAGCTGGCTCTAAATTAGATTTTAGTTCCTCATTTCTGCTAACCATGGCTGAAAACAAGGACATCAGCACTAGTAAAAGTCCTGAATTAGGGAAAACAAAGCTTAAACTGGTGGCTATTTGACAACTTGAAAATTTCCTTTGCATTCTCAAGAATCTTTATAATTTTTATAAATTATATTTCCTCTTTAATGGTATTGCTTTACATTACACAAGACCTACATGTTCTTCTACAAGTTTTCATTATAAATGTACATTGGTTCAGTGGTCCTATAGGTGCTACAGGCTTTGATTGGCCATCAGAGTTCCAACCATATAGTTAATGTGTTTCATTGGCTTGGTTGGGATCATCATTTCAATCTCTAGGAGATATGTGCTTTAAGTAGCAAATGACTTAGAAATTGTTTTGTAAGTCAAGAGATATCTGATTTTAGTTTATATTTACTTAAAACTCACACATGATGCCTAAGATACCAAATTTGCTTCATGATTGGATGACTTATTAATGCTTATTTAACCAGTTTTTAGAACTTGGTAGGCTGTTTTCCCTTGTTTGGTCTAGTCAGGAAGAGGTAAGACAGATGGAAAGAAAGCAAATGGATGGGACAAAGAAAGGTGCAAATTTCACACCAAGATGTAAATAAAACATTTCCCACTCATATTCTTGCTTCTGTTATTACTGCAAGGTATACTTAATGTTATTAAGTCATTTATCTCCTAGAGACTCCCAAATATTAGATGTTTTCTTCTGGCGTCCGCTGCGGGGCTTGGGTCTGGCTGAATCATGATCAGGGGGTCAGGGGGCTGCTGGTGAGGAAGAGAAAGAGAAAGTCCTCCATCTTGCCAAGACCTGGGAACTAGAAAGAATGAGACAAAGACATAGAGTAGAAATGAACAGAGGCAGCCTGAGCCTAGGTAGCCCAAGCAACTTGTGCCGCCGCGCAGTTGCTTGAGCCGCTTGAGCCGCTGCTGCTTGAGCCACCCAGACAAACTGGGCCTCTTTATTTATAGTTCAAGGAGACATTACACATGTATGTTTCATGACACTTCATAGATTGGTTGCCAGGTTATGGACAATAAGAAGCAGTTAACAAATCTATAAGGGTTTAGCCATACCTGGCCAGGTGTATCCCTTGGTGATAATCCCATCAAGAGAAAATCTCATCTTCTTTTCTAATGCAGAGAACTGGCTGTTAGTTGTGGGGAAGGAGCTAAGGAACTTCTCTATAAGGAGTGCACCACCACACCCAGAGAAGGCTAAAGAACCTTTCAGATGCAGAGCAGGGATTGGACTTTACTAATTGGGGTTAAGATGTTTCTTGAAGCCCATCAGATGTGTCTGTTGGAACTTCCCTAGTAATTGCCACCCTTGCTCTGTCTGCAACCAAGGTCAGGGAAAGACAAGTTACAAGGTTCTGCCAAACCCCAAAAGAGCAGGTGGTGTTTGCTCAGAGCATGTCCCCACACCTCAGATTCTCTCTCTTAAACGTGTCCCCATAGTTTTCTATGAGATCATCCTATGAGAATTGAGAGTAAGTTAAATGTTGTTCATGTCCAAGTTTTATTTGCTTTCAATTACTAAGAAGAGTTGAGGACTTTAATTTTGAAAGGAAAAAATGAGAAAAAAAATGAAAAAAAAAATCCCTCTTGTCTCTGTCACTTGTGGTCATGTTTAATAGTTATTCTTCTGTGTATTACAGTCATCTCTTCAGTACCATCTTTTGAATGCAAAATCTTTGGAGATGAGATTACCCTAATTTGAAACTGGCAATAGTAATAAGTGACTATTTGGGTTTTAGCTCAGGAAGTAAATAGGAACTAGCTTTGCCTGTCTGGAGTTATATCCTGGTACACCTTATCATTTTTTTCCCCTTTTAACTATATTCTCTTCTTATGTCTTCTTACATATAAGGGAAGTATCAGGTCATTGGGATAGTCATGATGTATTTTTCTATATAAAAATGCATCATGACTTTCCCAGTGACCTTATAGTATAATACATTTTAGGTCATCTAAATGGTCAGCTTTAGACTATATTTTAGTACATAACAATTTTTACATCTATATCAGTAAGACATCTTTAAGTAAAATGATTTTTCTAATATGATTTGATTATAAAGATGTATAATTTTTAGCAAAATAAGGTAGTGTTAGATTTTAAGTCAAAAAGGGAAGCTCGGTTATTTCTCTTATTAAATCTTCAGTGTTTATTTGTAATCATTGTCTCTGATACAATCCTCTCATTTAATATTTAATTCATTGTTTTTAGAGAATGGTGGTTTCTTTCCTTTTCTTTCTTTTTTTTTTTTTTTGGCCTGGTCAACTCCCAGCTTGGGCAGACGAATTAGGGTAGTGAGAAAGCAACTCCCACAGAGAAACATCTTCTTCCTTTTGGGATTTGGGCACACATGAGCATGTGTCTGGCATGTTTCTTAAGCTGCAGGTCTGGGACTCAAATTCCAGGCAGTCATAGGGGATCCAGCTACTTTAACCACTTGGGTTCTAGTTGGCCTGGTTAATATCTTTTTTATTTTTTTAAGACTGTGTATCTCTCAAATCACTATTGAATTAATATTATTTCCCAGGCTATTAACTTTCATTTAAAATTTTTTTCTCATGTATGTGTCTTTGTTTTTTTTTTGTTGTTTGTTTGTTTGTTTTTTTAAGAAAGTAGCTGGAAAGCAAAGATTTAAGTCATTATTATAGTTAATGTCTTTCCTGTGATACAACTAAGAGAAACACTAAAAGATCAGGGATTATTTTTTCAGAAATCTACTACAAAAACTTTGCAGCAAGAAAGTTGCAAACGTCCAGTGGGTTTTGAGCAACTACCGTGTATCTGGTTTTTTCAAAAGCCATATTTTACTGTTTCCTCACTATAAATAATCCTGTGAGATAAATGAAATTCTTGGATTAATCCTGGGCAGCATCCCACTTCTCATCCCTCCAGCAAGTTCATAAACGTTCTTTGGAATACTATCATGCATGAAGCATTATTTCGGTATCTTTTTTGTTAAATTGAAAAAGGTCTAAAGTGGGAAGGAGTTTAAAGGTCTTCCAGTGTCCCTTTAACAAATAAAAGTCATAGGTCTTTTGAAATGCAACAAAAGCAGTATTAAGAGAATTGTAATAACGCATCAATGCCTCCAAAGAGACCCCACGCCTTTCCTAGCCCTAAACGGAGCAGCGCTCCTATTCCAAGGGACCTGGTTTTCTGTACGCCCCAATTGGGCATGAGTCGATAGTCCTCTTCTGCCACTTACGTGTATCTCAGATTTTTTTTGTCTATAAAATGAGAAATTTGGACAATATTTTTTTTCCTGACTTTCCCCAAACTGACTCTGGAGGTCAGAGGGAATACGAGGCTGCTTCCGTAAAGCTAAGTAAAACACCTTCTTCCAACCCCACAGAAGCAGATTTACCGTTCTAAAATTAGAGGCAAGCAAGCTGAAAGCAGAGTTCTGGGTGTCCCAGGCGGACATCCGGGACCCAAAGCCACGTGTCGGTACTGCAATACCAGTCTCCTCTCTTCCCCAAGTCCCGCCAGTTCGAGGAGCAGGGTTCACTCCCCGCCGCACGCGCACTCTCTGCATCAGCGGCGAACTACATTTCCCAGAATGCATTTCAACCTCCTCGTAGCGTACCAAGCGCCCAGGTGACGCCATCAGGCAGCGCGGTGTTTAGGCTCTACTGATGTCGTGGCGCTCTTGGGGAAGAAGTTGGTGTTCCGAGTGACCCTGGTACTGAAGAAGTGGTCCGGGAGACTCGTGGCACTTTCCCACCACCCCCAACCCTTGCCCACCTTTTTCCTCCTAAGATGAGGCGTGCAGGCCTGGGTAAGAAGAGGGTCGAGGTTCGCAGTTCCGGGGCCCTAAGTACCATCAGGTTGGGCGAGGGGGGCGGGAGAAATTGTGTCAGTCTCCTGTCACTGACATCTGGACCAGAAAGCCAGATGTCTAAAGGGGATCTTTGGAGGCGGTGCTAAGGGGAAAGACTCCATCTGTCCCACATCCTAGGTGTTTCCTTAAGTTTGATGCAGACTCAATTTTGAATGATAGGTCAGAGAGGAGTGGAGGACTGGCGGTGGGTATGTGCAGTACAAACTAATATTCAAGTTTTTGAATCACCCTCACTGACTGAGGGTGATTGTGGAAACTGCTTTAGTTTGCAAAGTTCGGCACCAGTTTCTACTGGCCGTAGATTCTAGGTTTTTTAGTTTTGGTTTTGATTTTTTTTTTTTGTTTATTTGTTTCTTGTTGTTGTTTTTCTGTTTTTTGTTGTTGTTGTTGGTTGTCTTTTTTTTTTTTTTCCCTCTCAGGAGTATAATTTGAAGGGTGAGTGAGTGATGCATAGGAACTTTGGTTAGTCTGGTAACAGTGAGTTACAAAGGTAAATGTACATGTCACTATTGTGAAAGCTCTTGGTATGTGTCATTGGGGTCAAAGGCACTCTCACCCAGAACATTTCTTATCTGAACCTTATTCCACTATTAAGACATTAGGATGTGGTAAGGTTTGGTGATTTAATATTTCTCCTTGATCCTGTGGGTTAGGAAACTGGCTGGCCCAGCAGCAGGGATAAGTTTAATGTAGGAGGTTTAATGGGG